CCCCCCCCCCGTCTGTCCCATGACTCAGTCTGCAGCACTTTCGTTCCCCAGAACTTTATGCGTTTTGTCCCTTTTTCTGTCGTTCTTATCAGACAGCCATCGTCTCGGTCCGCTTTCCTTTCCTTACTCATTTTCCTTTTGGCTTGTTTTTCCTTCCTGTAGGTCGCGCTGCTTCTCGTAGCCGATGATATCACCCACCATGCCCGGGTGAATCATAAAATTCCCCTGATGCTGTCAGGTTTCATGGTTGGTCTGACTGGCACTTTGTGCCTTCACGGCAATGAAAGTGAAAGGCAAAAATATTTAAGTGAGTCGCTGAACTCTGTAATTCGTGTTTTTACAAACGGGGACAATTTCTCTGTTCGGTTTATTCCGGCGACCTCCTCCCTGGTTCATCCTAAAAACCTACATCCCCTTCTCCCTTTTGTGTGTTTCTGTCTCAAAGCTCACGTCACGGTGGATTAGCGCAGAGGTTACGCTCCCCGCGCGCACCGTGTGAAGACTTCCTTTTGATTTTAAATGCGAACCCTCGGTGGATTTTAATCGAAATTCAAGCTGAGAAGGCGGAGAAGCAGCTGGAATGCTACTTATCCAGGAAGGCTGCGGCTCCCAGGCTGCTTCACACAGGGCTGCAGTGATAAAAACCCACCATAATGTGAGACGGGAGACTCGGCCTGCGTCTGTATTTCATAGTTTTAATTGTGCGGCCGCCGAGAACGACTCCCCTTTCCGAAATGTACAAAAATGATTGATTGATTGATGAGTGGGGCCCCGCTGAGTTGTTTAGTGAGCTCGAGTTGCCTGGAGGCTTCGTTTGGGTTTGGTGGAAAATAATCGTTAAAGGAACGCGTCCTGTGAATTTCATTAAAGCCTAATGAAATCTGCGGACGCGTTTTTCATCCAGGGGAAAAGTGTTTTCCCCTTTGCAGAGAGGCTCTCGGAGCTATTTCTCTGCAGCTACCAGAAAATTTGCTGAATTGTTCAGGAAATTCGAAGCAACTCTCAGAGCATCTTCATTAGAGGATCATAAAGACTCAGTTTCCTTGTGCTTGGCTTCTGTTTGTCTTTGTGAGGGAAATCATGTTTCATTTATTTGTTACTGAAGTCCAAACATTTGCTTTTCCCTGATTGGTTCTTAATCGTTCGGCGTGTTGTAGTGCGGTATTCAGTCTCCCTCTTGCTTGTCGTTTTTTCACACACTTTCTACAGAGGACTTTCCCAAATCCAGTTGAAACCTGATGTTAACTTGCACTGTACTGGATAAATAATAATAATTATAATGATAAAACAGTAACTTAAGCATTTTTCTACCACTTTCTACAAACTCAAACGTCTTCTGACGGTAAAATTACAATTCCTTTAAATAATTTGGGAAGTCCTAAAGTGTGATGTCATTGTCTGTGTTTTAAGACAACATCTCAAACGCACTGGTTCCTTGTGTGACATTATGGGAAAAATATCAAAATGAGAGAAACAATTATAGACAGACTTTATGTTAATGACAGATGTAGAGATTTTTTAAAAATATTTCATTTCCCTTTAATCTTTCTGCTTAAAGGGGCAGTAATATGTGAAATCGACTTTTTTGAGCTTTACATCATGTTATAATATGGTGCTTTGATTCTTTCATGCATGTTTAGGAAATCCTTTAATTTCGCAGCTATTCAGCTCATTATGGGAGTTGCTCCTCAGTGCAACGCTGATAAAAACGTTGCTAAAGGGCTAATAGAGGAGCCATGTTGTGATGACTTCCTGAAGGCGGAGGTTCAGAAAAAGGAGTTTTTAAAGAGACAGAAGCCCAATTTTTAGACGTTAAAATACAAAGTGAAATTTCTTATATATGTCATATCTTATAAATGATGTATGACTGTCTTGTAGTTTGTTAGCTCCGGGTTTAAAAGATGTTAACTTACTAAGAGTGAAAGGGGATCCTCTTTTAGTTTCCTAATCTCGACTGTCAAATTTGTGCTTGAAGAGACGTAGTCTCCTTCTTTCAGCCAGCTGACTAACAGTGGTGGCACCACAGCACTTTTTCTTTGTGAACTCATTAAATCAGCTCTTGCTAATATTTATTTTATTTTTTTTTACGTTTACATCAGGGGTTTTTTCTTTATTTTTCCAGTTAACAGTGATCACATAGGCTTGAATGGGGGGGGAAAAAAAAAAAAAAAAAAACCTCCTCTCACAACCCCATCTAGCTTATCAAAAGTTTTTTAGCCAGAAAATCACTAGAATGTTAAATGGCGTAGTATAAAATTTCAGTGTGTTTGTGTTCGAGCCCAGAGGTGCACAGCGAGTCTTGTAAAGTCATTCTGCGTGGCCTGACCTCTGATTGAGGCCTCCACACACAGGCTTAGTGGATCGATCTACCCGTCAACACAAGAGCCGAGCTGTTATCACACACAGTCGCTGCTGTGTGCGTGTGTGTGTGTGGGCAGCTTTTGGAGGAAGATGATGAAACGATCACTGTCACATCTGATAGAAGTCTCAGTGACGCTGATGCGAATAACATCTCATTCGCAACTGGTGGTTTCCTGCGCCGCAGAGAGACGGAGAGGCAGCCGTAAACCGAGATGCTTCGGTGATGAAAATTTGTTTTGACCGAGTTTTTTAGCAACGCAGGGTTGCATTATGCATGAGCGTTTTTGACTGACGCGTCTTCGGCTCCTCGCTTGGGTTCACGAGAGCTGGAAGTGCCTGGGGAGAGGAGGGGGACGGTGGGGGAGGCGGGGAGCGTTGACCTTCCTGGGTGTGGGTCCAAGGCGGGGCTGGCACTTCTGTGAAAGCCTGACTGGTTCCAGTGTTCTCACATTTGCCCAGTTTTATCTTGTGTGACACGCTCTGTTCCCAGAACATGTCACCGGCTCACACAGGGTGGGTCTCCACATCATAAAGTGACCAGAAACCTTTAAAGCGTTTGGCTGAAGTGCAAATTAAACTGAGGTTTCAGCTGTAAACTTATCCAAGGCGTGATGTGCTGTGAAACTGTGATCAGGTCAGATGTCTGTCCATGTCCACGGTGGCCAGCAACTGTTAGCTGCTTGCATATCAGAACTTTTTTCATATTTAATAACATCATAACCACAAGTAGTATAACTTTGTGTGATTAGCCAACACAACAGCGCCGCGGTGTCACAGAAATCATTATGGAAGGCCCGGATTGACCCACAGGCCTCGAGTTTCACACGTGACGTAGCACATGACTCTGGAAAATTAGCTTTAAAATATTTCACAAATGTGTTTCAATTTCATGTATTTTTGGGATATTTACTCCCCAAACCCCGAGGCAAACTTTTGTGCATTTAGTAATTTTTGCCCCCTTTTCTTTTCAAAGGATCTCTAAACATAAATTTTTAAATATTACCACATATTCTCTGTTTGTTTTAGATTTTCACTCTGATTGATTTATTCTAAGACATGAAATGCACTGATCTAAACTCTAGTCTATTATTATTATTATTATTATTATAATCCTTTGAGATGTGAAGATGCAAAGGGTGTTTGAAAATGTATTATTTTTAGTATTCCACTGAAGTTTTGGCTGCATGTTTGGGCCATAACTGAGATATAGCTACATGTATGTTTCACGTCCAACTGGGTTTATTGAGGGATATCAAAGTGACTGCATGTGATACTTTTAAGATCATTATTAATAAAATGTGTCAATAAAATCACGCGTCCCCATGTGCTGCTTTGGATCTGCGCATGCATGAAATCCCGAGGAAAAATACGTCAACGTTCACGCTTTGCGAAAATGTAAAAAGGCTCCGTCGTTGTGAATTCTTTCGCGAGGCGCTTTAATGTTGCCTAAGTATTGCTTGCAGCTGTGGTAGTTTGCTCAGTCTGGCCAACAGAATCTGCCGCAGAAACCTCCATTGAAGAAATGAACTTCAGCTATATCTAATTAGGATTCTTTACGGCTCCTGGTAAACAGATGATGTTGGTTTCACGCAGGACCGAGCGAGTAGTTTCCCACTGTTTTTAGTCTCTCGGTCGCACAAAAACCAAGCCCGCCAGGCTTCGGAGTGGTGCAATTTCTTCGCGCAGCCTCGCCGAGAAAAGGTGGCTGAACCGTGTCGCGCAAAAGCAGCGACCCTGGGTGAGATCCGGAAACCACTCGAAACCAGTTTTATTGGGTGAAAAGCTGAGTTGGTGGAACGGTTCTGAGTGAGTCTGCAGTTGAAGTCGGTTGTGGTGAGACCGCAGATTACTGAATGTCTCTGCGTTGATTGGAAGCTGGATTAGAGATGATGATAGCGTGTTGGTGTCTCTGGCAGGAGGAGACGTATGAGAAGCTCCTCAGTCAGAAGCCTGCTAATGTGGGTTTTAGGTTCTGAGGGAATAACTTTGTGAAGGTTTTTACCTTTTTCCAGCTCCTTCTGTAAACAAGAAATGCATGCAGCAGGCCCGGGTTTTTTTTTTTTTTTTTTTTTTTTTTTTTTTACTCTGATTTCTTCCTTCCTATGTAAACCGTCCAGTCTCTCAAGTGGGATTAAGGCATCCAACTGTGAAAAGAACCTACTCCTCTTGGCGCACGGTATCATTATAGCCTATATTGCTATTAGAAGCACAGCAGGGAGAGGTTTTGTCCTCTACACATTGTCAGAAGTGGTCGTAAGATGTCTCCGAGTTCGCCGGTGCTGAGAGAGAAAAGAAGAAAAAAAAATCTCTTCGAACTGATGATAACGGGGATTTATTTTTGGGGCGGTGGAAGCCTCAAAACCTATTAGAGTTCATGTATAAATCACATGTTTTACATGCATGAAAGACTTCCGTGGTCGACCTCAGAGCAGCGTCTGCGAAAAGGATATCCGCTCATCAGTCTCTGCTGTATATTTAAACGGAAATCCCTGTTTGTAAATATATACTTTGGTCTTTATTTGTAGACTCGTATGTCTGGACTGTGAGTGAAGCTACAAAAAAAAAGTGATGAGTATTAGTTGTATACTACAGTTTTGTTGACTTTTCCCCCCCTGTATTTCTGTTTCCTGTTCCTGCAGTGGAGTATGACCGGGAGCTCTCTCCGCAGCGGCGTCACCACAAGGAGTTTAAGTTCAACCTGTCGCAGATCCCAGAGGGCGAGGCCATCACGGCAGCCGAGTTCCGCCTTTACAAGGAGTGCGTGAGCCAAGCGTTTCGCAACGACACCTTCATGCTCAAAGTCTACCAGGTGGTCAAGGAGCACCCTGACAGGTACGAGCCACACACGAGAGGCCTTTTACTCTTGGCTCTTTCAAAAGTGATGCATATCTCCCCATGTCAGGGTTACTGAAACTTCCAGAATTTCATGGTTAAACTAGTTAGCTGCCCTACATGAAATAAAGACATGTTTTTACAAACTCTCAGCGCCTTGCAGAAGTCGTAGCGTCCCTTGAGCTTTTTAATACCGCTGCATAGTTTTTGCTGCGTCTCCTACAAGGAGTGTATAAACGTCAAATTAGACTGGTGGTTTTGTTTCAGCTATAGCTTCCCTTTTTTTCCATAAAGGCCAGATTTGCGGAGTGCTAATAGCTGTACTGTCAACAGACCATAACACCTGAGCTCCTCCACGGTTATAATGGGGCGTTTGGCTGCTTCTCTGGTTCTCTTGTTGTCCGATCCGAAAGTGTAGATTGATGGCCACATGTTGGTGGGTTTGCAGCTTTTGGATGATGGATTTAACAGAGCTGTGTGAGATGTTCGAAGCTTGGGAAGTTGTTTTGTAGCCTAACCCTTCTTTGAGCTTCTCAACAACATCATCCCTCGCATGTCTGCCGTGTTCCTTGGTCTTCGTGATGCTGCTGCTCACTAATGTCCTCCAACAATCCTCTTTGATGTTCACAGAAAAACAGCAGAGACTGTAAACCCATAGATACATTTTCCAGAGGGGATGCAGTTTGTTTTTACAAAAAAAAAAGGATAGATGGGAGTTTGCTACTGAAACAGAATTTTTACTGTGAAACTCCTGCAACTTAGAAACAGCGTTCTGCTTTCCTGTGTGGTGTCCATCGCTTCATCCCTTGTTTATAATGCAAAGCTGAGCAAACCCCTTCTCCCCCTTCTTGCAGAAATAACTTCAGCTTTAAAAGAGTCCCATCTTCTAAATAACCACAGCTGATACACGTCAAACATTTACCTTACCTCTGCAGGGCAGATAAACAGCGTCTCTGAATTGGTTTGGTGTTTCAGGAAGTCTGCTCCATGACAAACAACGTAAAGAGAGTTTCTGATATACTTCAAGTTATTCTCAGTCGCTTCGCTTCAGCAGGCCCTTAGGCAATGGAGAATTGGTGTAGTTATTCATCTTGACCTGGGCGGCTTTAGCGCTCAATATCTGCTAAATGTGTTCAATCTGCAAGGCCCATACATCTGCATAAGGAGAATTAGATCTTACCACTCATTGTTAAAACATGGTAATTGAGCAGACAACTACTTAAATTTCACATTCTTGAATTCATTTTTTCTCTTAAGATGTTGTTGGGTTACCAAGTAGGGGCCTAAGTGAATTAAAAGTAAAAGATCTTTAGCTTTAAAGACCTTTTTTCCCCCTCTCCTAATTTTACACGTTAAACTGTAACTTTGCAATCGCCAAATCTGCAGGAAGCCTATTAACTTTTCCCGTGGCCCTGACTCCTGTTTTGGCTCTGAGCTGTAATGATAGAGTGTTTAATTAGCTTGACGCCCTTTGTTCTTTTCATTCGATTGGCTTCTTGAGCAGCAGGCCAGGAATGTGAGAGATTACAATGCCAAAAATGTGACAGAGCTGACATGAGAGAAGGCAGACTACTCCCAACCGCTGACCGCTAATCAGCATTTTTTTAAACTATTTTATTTTATTACCAATCATAGAGCACTTAACTTATGGTTATCTTTGAAAATAATTATGTAATGTCTTAAAAATGCAATTAATACTGATATTTCAAGAAACCCCACTCACATTTTGGTTTATTAGTTTTGCAAATATGCCATTTTAGTAAAGGACCAGAAAATTCTTCTATTTTGCATATAAATATAAGCAAAGCAACCAACAAGATCTGTTTAAAGAAGCGGTTTCAAACTAGGGATGGACATTTATTGTATTGTATATAATTTCTCATGAGGAATATCTTATCATGAAAACAATTCCGATTTATGGCTGTGATAAATTCCAATTAAATGCAACTTTAAATCCCCCCAAAACTGTCTGTATTTTTGGGATTGTAAGATTTACTATTTTCTCTACAATGAAAATGGCAATAAGTATGATTAAATGCAGTAGTTACTGTGTGCAGTTTAGCGATACAGATCATCTTTATGCGACTGCCGTCCTAAAGAAGCATAACAAACGCAAATGGTTTTCAAGATCAGCAGTTGTGTGTTTGTGGGGATATGATCTCAACCACACAATTACCTAAAAAAATAAGCAATAAATAGTTGTTATTGTCGCTGTCGTTATCACAATGCAACCACAAAATATTCCGATATGTTCAATCACTCACCCCAAATCCGAAAAAATAAAAAATAAATCTTCAGTTAATTACAGGTTCCAGTTTGTATAAGAAGTCAGTAATAAAAAGTTTCACTGGATCTCAGGTGGAGATCTTTTTTTGTCACATGACGGCGTGCAAAGCCGCAGCGTCCTGGCCCAGCTGCGTGCGGAGGGGGTTTCATGCCGAAGCTGTCAGAAACGCTCTCATTACAGACCAATAAAGCGGGGCTGCAGAGTCATGACTGCAGGGGCATTCTGCGAACACCTGGATGACTGCGGAGCTTTGATGTCGTCTCTGGGAGGACGGTCCCACGGGCCCTCGGCTGTGTTATTACTGTCTCTAATGGGACGGCGGGAGGACGAGGCCCTCTTATTATCCACGCTCTGCCTTTTTCTTACGTCTCGCTTCTCATTAACGAGTGATACTTCTTTCCCGCGTTCGACACAGTCCGCTCGACTCCTTCGCACAGAAAAAATATTGTGAATGATTTTAGCATACATGAATCGCAGAGAGTGGCGGACAGAATCTGGCCTACGCCAGAATTATCTGGGATTTTTTCAGCTAATATCAATTCATTTGGAATATTTTTTTATTTTTATTTTTTTTGGTGTCCAATATTTAGGTTCTTTTTTGCTTTCCATGTGAAAAAAATGTTTTTCAAAAACTCAAATATGACAATTTTAGTTTTTGATTGATGGAGCTAAACTTTAAATTTGAAGAGTCATGATACATGATCTCAAGACATTATACATGATGTCTTTAAAAAAAAAAAACTCTTTAAAGGGAGATTTAGCCTTAAAAACATACAGAAACTTATAAAAACTCCTTGGCCAATAATAAACTGAGTAAGACAGTTTTACTCCAACTCAACTTAACTGCACCTGTGTGTGTGACGCCTGTTTTTTTAGAAGTTCTGGCTGTTTTGTTTGCCTTAGAGAGGCGGATCTGTTCCTGCTGGAGTCCAGGAGGCTTTGGGCCGCTGAGGAAGGATGGCTGGAGTTTGACATCACGGCGACCAGCAACCTGTGGGTGATGAGTCCGGTGCATAACCTGGGCCTGCAGGTCAGCGTGGAGACCAGTAGCGGTGAGAAACTCTGCGACTCTCAGCCCGGTTTCAGATCGACGTTTTGTTCTAGATCGGTCAATAGATTCCAGTGAATATCCATCAGTTTAAATAACTCACTTCCTTTTGACAACACGAAACGAAAACGGATCATAAAACAGTAAAAATGAACTTGTGACGCTTATCTAAGAGTTGCCTGTTTTCCCAAGCAGGGCAGACCATCAGCTGTAAAGACGCGGGCCTCGTGGGACGAGACGGCGCGCTGGAGAAGCAGCCTTTCATGGTGGCCTTCTTTAAGGTCAGCGAGGTCCACATCCGCTCTGCCCGCTCCGCAGGAGGGAAACGGCGGCACCAGAATCGCAACCGCTCCACACAACCGCAAGAGGCGTCCAGAGGGTCGGGCCAAACAGGTCGGTGTGCTAAAACCTTAACCGACCTCAGACTGGCCGGTGAATGCAGATGGATGCAAAACTAACCTCAACGTTGCCTCCATAGATGCATGAATTATGTCCAGCCTGCACACTGTTTGTCTGGTTAAGGTATTTCCTTTAGAAGCACTTGATAAATTGGACTCGACCTGCACAGGATCTCTTTGTAATCAGCCACTGTTAGACAGAAACTGTAGCTCAGGGATGATGTGCGGGATTTATTTTCCCTGCAGCTTCCCCTTAAGGATAGAAGGAGATTGAATATTCAGCCTCCTTCGTGATTTATGAAGGTGATTTCTGTTGCTGGGAGGGTTTGGACTCGGAATTAAGTGTCAGAAAAGTTGCATGTTTATTACAATCGTTTGCGCTCGATGGGAAGAGAAGCGTTTTTTGGCTCTAGTACCCGGTGCCTTGTAAAACAGCCATTTAACATCCACATTCTACTGGCCTTTTAGGTGTAGAAAAACACAAAGTTGCACTTAATTATGGTGGATACGGAAAAGATGTAGTTTTTTTTTTAAAAATAAAAAATAAAAACCAGAAAAGTGTGGCCTCGTTCAGTCTGATACCTTTAAATACAACCTGGAGCAACCAAATGCTAGTCTAGCTGGATACACAAGAAAGAAATCAAATCAAATCAAGCAACTTTATTTATTCTGAAAAAGGGAAGTTCGGCTCGCAGCTCTCTGGTCAACATAGCAAAAGAAAATACAAACAATCATCTCATGCAGCCATTTCAGCATCAGGACAAACACTAAAGTCACATGAAATTCAGTAGAGATGGAAAAAAAAAAAGATTCTCTAAATCCCTACAAGAGTTTGTGGTTGTGATGTGACAAAAATGTAAAAAAAAAAAAAAAATCTCCATGCATCCTCTTGCAGGGCACTTTGACCTCGGTCTACTATAAAGGGAGCATTCATTCTGAACAGAGCTGCTAAATATTCAGTGGTTTGTATTGACAGGTGACCTCATCTTTAAACTCTGCTGCAGTTCGCTCCTCGAGCAGCTTACCGGGTGATGTAATGAGGAAGGATAATCCTCATCTTATTAGCTTTGCGAGCGTTTCAAATGAAATCAAACCCGCCCACCTTTCACCTGCTGAGTAATTGTGGCCCCAACTCGATCCCGCTTAAAGCTAAGCTGCCACTGCGAGGGCTTACTGTGCGAGTGGCGCTGGCGCTCGATGGGCGCCGTTAATATCGGCTTGATTGCTGCCTAATTTGACTGATGAGTCTTAACGCGACTCGCAAACCACGGCGAAGCAAACCGTTGGATCGGAGCAGCAGAAGAGAGGGAGCTGTCGCCCCGGCAGAGTGTCCCCTCAGCTCCACTAAGCAAATATGTAATTTCCCACTGGAAACATGCTATTTTATTCTTATTTGATGCAAAAAATAGATGCTAATTTCTTAAGCTAGTCGGAAAAAGAACTCACAGACTAGTTCAACATATAACTTAGATGTGGAATATTGACGATCGGAAAAATCATGCTAATTCTTTTAATTTTTGATTTTTCATGAAATACCTTAAAACCTTTGGTGAAATCATATCTGATGGAAATCAACAATTATAATTTAAATAGAAAGTAAGCAGATTTCTACACATATAGCGCTATCATAGATGGTACCTTACAAAACGTTCTCGCCCTTTCAGTTTAAAAGCTCTTTGCATTTTAGTCTGTTACCTTTGATAGGCCATCTGTGGTGGACTGACAGCAGACAGGTCAGGGATAAAGTCATAAAGAGGTTTAGACCTGCAGTTTATAACTTAGAAATACATGTATGGTTTTTGCATATTTGTTAAAACTGTCACTATGTTATGACAAGATAATATGAAGCAGATAATCTTTCAAAAAAAAAAGAAGTAGCTCCTTTGCCCTCTACCAGTGCTCCCAGTGCTAACTACAGAAATGCACCATTCAGTCAGAAGCAACCAATGAGAGCCAGGAGGACTGGCTCTCATTGAGCGCTGTCAATCATGCTTTCTGGTTACTACCTCCACCTTGCTCTCTGCTATACGCTACAACTTATTTTTGATTGCAGAGCCTGCCATGAATGCTCAAGCTAGTTGGCATGGCAACAGATGATGGCAGATAAACAGTTTTCTTGAAACATCAAGTTATTTCTCCACCATTAGCACATTTAGCAGCATGTACATGAGCATGATTTACTGTAAAAAAAAAAGGTAATGTAAAAACTGCCCAATGTGGCTTTAAATTAGGGTTAGGTTATAAGCCATGAGAAAACTTTCGTTTCAAAGACAGACTAAAATAAGTACACCTGTTTGAGCTTGTAACTACAAGTGATCAGCAAAGCACACTTGTGCTTCTCGTAGGAGCTGAAACTGTTTGACGTCGTCCACAGAGCTGAGAACTGAAGCTAATGATGAGACTGTAAACGGTTAAGCGCCCATACCCAAAAAGCTGACTCGCTTTTCTGCCGCCTGGTGCCAAAACCCAGCTCTGACTGGGGCGCTGCAAATAGAACCTTCTGGCCGGCTACCTGGGAAGCAATTTACCTCCGCTCCGCTTCGCCGGCTCTGTTTAATGACTCTAACATCTGCACGGTAAACAGATGTATTTGTGGGACAGGTTGGCTTTGTGCTTCACTGTTGCTCTCCGCGAATAGTTTGTCTGGCTCCGTTTTCTGTTTGTTCAGAGCGTCTTTGGTGGCTTCCTCCAAAGGCCGAGCTAATGCAGAAAACAACAAGGTGGAAGCTTCAGCTTGCAGGTTTCTCACTGAGCAGGGACGGCGGAGTCTTAAGGTGGCACCGCTTTGAACTCGTGGTTTGTTACGCAACTTCATGTCCTCCTCTGCCAGGCTGTCATCTTCGCTTTCATGTCAGAGTGACTTCAAGAGAAACTCATTTCAGCCTTCATAAGCAAACGGAAAGCTACAGTCTGCTTTTGCGTCCCTGTTCTTGCATCAGGAGGATGAGGAATATCTGAGAAAAGCAAATCTGTTCAAAGAAATTCTCCAGTGACGACAATCGGTTAAATGCACTTTACATAACCCAAAACATCAAGACCTCGCTGCACTCGCCACTCGGCACGACTGGGAGTGTAAATATTTAGATCCTGCACAGGAAGTTGGGAGCGCACCCCCCTTCCCCACCCTCTCTCCGCCGCCTCCCCTGTGACAGCCATGCGTCCGAGGCTAGAAAAGAGGAGTTCTGGGATTGGACGGGATGGGAGGATCCATGAGGAATTCTGGCTGGCATATGGTTTCAATACCGCATCACTCACTCCTGAGATGAGGAGAAGTTTGAATTGGACGGGGGAAACAACTGCATGTTTGGCACCGGCGCTGCAGCGTGTCAGTTCAGGACACAGCGAAAGGGAATATTTCACCTAGAAGTCAGTCCATTTCTAAGGCCAGGAGGAAACATCTTGTTTGTTTTTAACTGCTAGCGTCCACAGAGGCGTCCGTTCAGATGCCTTTGAGAACTTCAGCATGCCGTGTTTTCTAAAAGCAACATCCTCTTCTACCTAAAGCGCAAATTCTTGACCCGTGTGATTAAAATATCTGCGAGAGCTTTATTCTGCATCTCGTTTTACTTAATTACCTTCTTGCAAATGCAGTGTCTCATTGCTCCATATAGTCTTTTTTTATTAAATTCAAAACTGCACTGTGCATTTCCCCCCTTTATGTTGATGCCGCTAAATGAAATCCACTGCAACCAAAGCTGGCTAAAGATTGTAATCCCACTTGTGAACTCTGGTCAGAGGAGATTTAAATATAACTTTCGACTCGCATGCAAAAACACGAAGTGTGGCAGAAAAACAAACACCTCACACCATCTTGTTTATCACTATCCCTAGCATAAAACACAGTGGAGGTTGCATCATGCTGTGGAAATGCTTTAAACAGCAGGTTGATGGCAACATAAGGAGCTAAAACCAGTTAAGCTGGATTATACTTTGTGATTGTTGGGCATCTAAACTCACAGGAGTTATTATAATGTCTTGCTTGTGCAGAGTGACACTTATAGGTAAAAAGACGGCAAAAGACTTCAAAGATGATGTGGAGGTCTTCCGGCTACGTGGACCCTAAACTTAAAGCGAGAGGTATGATGAAATGGTTTAGAGCGAAACTTATTCACGCGTTAGAAGACCTAAACTAAATGCAATTGAGAATTTGTAAGACTTGAACATTGACGTTTGCAGATGTTCTACCTCCAGTTCGACTGAGCTTCAGCTGTTTTGCAGAATTGGCAAAAAAAGACAAAAAAAAATAAAAAAGACCCAAAAGATTTGCATTAATGATTGCAGAAATGGGTGCTTCCTGGGTGTGGACTCAGAGGGGCTGAACAGAACTGCTTGTTACACTTCTTAGATTTGTTTTTTGGGCTTTTTTCCCCCTTACTTCTTAATTTGACCTTTTGTTTTATTAGAAAATCTAAAACTTCACTCGGTCCCTTTAGACTACCAAAACAGGCGGTTCATCAGAAAGCTTGATTACCTAAACCGAAATGCTTCTGAGGTTTTTGACCTCTCTTTTCCCATGTTCATAGTTTTAATGTGTTGGACGTAAAACAACACGTGAGATCAAATATCTTCCAGATGACTGAAAAGGATTGAATTAGCCAAATAAATTTCTGCAACATTAGTTTTGAAATATTGCCGTGATCAAAAGTGTAATAAATCATTTTTTTTGCTCCCTTTTTGCCTGAAAACGCACACGATACGTGATTACATGGACAAATTTGATTGCTCATTCTCTCTTTGAAAACATCCTCCTGAATATATATTATTTTTTTTTTTTTTTTTTTTTGACCGAAAGCTCTCGCGTACTGCGCCAGCAGAACAATACAACACCTTTAAAACTAATTTGGCATTTAGTGGGTGCACAGGGCCGGGGAGGTAATGGGAGTCGGGTTGGGCCCTTGACTCCTGGCTGCGGGGGAGGTTAACAACCATCCGGGGAAGGAATACCGCGTCCCGGCAGGCACAGCCCTGGCGGCCTGTAATTAGGTGTAGCTAGTC